CCATACACACCTGTACTCACCATACACCATACACACCTGTACCTGCCATACACACCTGTACCCATCATACACACCTGTAACCATATAAACATCTGTATTCACCATACACCATACACACCTGTACCCACCATACACACCTGTCAGATCTTGGAGTTACAGACAGTTATGACTGCCATGTGGGTGCTGATAATTGAACCCAGGACCTCTGGAAAAGCAGTCAGTGCTCTTAACCGCTGAGCCATCTCCAGCCCCACCATACATACCTGTAACCATATTAACACCTGTAAGCACCATATACCTTATACACATGTACCCACCATACACCATACACACCTGTACCCACCATACACCTATACCCATATAATATACCCGTAACCACCATAAACCTTACATACATGTACCACTACACATAATACACACCTTCAACCACTGTGTATCATACACACCTGTAATCACCTCTTGAGATTTTAAATGTTTTTAAGTTTTATTGTCTTTGTGTGTGTGTGTGTGTGTGACAGATGTTGGTGCCCAACTTGGCAACATGCAACAGATCCCCTGGAGCAGGAGTGACAGATGGTTGTGAGCCGCCATATGGGTGCTGGGACTGAACTTAAGTCCTCTGTTAAGAACACTACTGAGCCGTCGCTCTTGTCCCAATAAACATCTTTTAATTATTTTATGATTATTTAAATTAATATTAATCATAATATTAATGAATTTGAATGAATAATCGATTACTTAAATCAGTACATATTCATCACATAGATTATTTTGTTTAATATGCTCAAATATTTAATATGACGTCATTATAAATATTATGAATGGGTGATTTCTCTGTTATCATCCCAGATTTTCAGAATAACAGTTAAGAGCACTAGCTGCTCTGACAGAGGACCCAAGTTTGGTTCCCAGCACCTCAGGGACAGGTCGGTGCACAGCCTCGTGTAACTCTAGTTCCAAGGTCTCTGAAGCCCCCTTCTCCCCTGTCAGAGCTCAGCACTCACAGACACACTCACAGACACACTCACAGACACACTCAGGGCACACAGACCCATGCACACAAAACGTACCACACATAAAAAGAAAGGGACAGCAGTCCGTTCAGGGCGGCCCTTTGATAGACTGACGGTGGTCGTGGGTAACACTGTCCTGACTGACAAGAGCTGTCAGCCTGTCACAGAGAAGAGGTGAGTCGGGACTGAGGTGGAAGGCCAGGAGCAGCCGGAACACCAAAGTGTGCCGGGCTGACTTTCGGAGACTGTGTTCCAGGAGCCAGGGCGGAAGAACACTGAGTGGTTTCTCTATTCTTAGCAAATTCCCCCCAAGTGCCCACCTTGAGGAGATTTCTTTTTTTGAGAGGGCGGGGGTTTCGAGACAGGGTTTCTCTCTGTAGCTTTGCACCTTTCCTGGATCTTGTGCTGTGGACCAGGCTGACCTCGAACTCACAGAGATCCGCCTGGCTCTGCCTCCCAAGTGCTGGGATTAAAGGTGTGCGCCACCACCTCCCAAGGGAGGAGAAGATTTCTATCAGGGTCCAGAACAGATGCTACAAGCGGCTAAGGATACTCCTAATCTGTTCTTTAGTCCATTCACTTCATTCTTCTAGGTCCAGTCTGTCTACACAGCTTCAGCTCCATCCTCGAACTCAGCCCCTCTCTGTGCCCAGTTTTCCTGTCCTCATAGTTTAGTTTTTGACCTGATCTTTGTCCTCTGTTCCTTCGTCCTCCATCTACCCTTCCTGGTTCATGACCCCTGGCTCTGATAAACCCCACAAGAGATCAGCTTTACCCTCCACTGAACCTCTGCCTTCCTGTCTTCTCTCTGGCCACGCAGTTCTGGTTTCCTGTGGAATTCCGCTCCTGTCCTTACTGCACTGGTTGTGCAAAAGGTCCTGCTGTCCTCAATCTCTCTGCCCTGCCCCTAGCCCTGAGGGAAGGGGATGGTCTGAGCTTCATTTGCGCAAGAAACAAAGCTATGCGTCTACTGCCTGCTTGTCTCCTAGGCCCAGCGGGGGAGTTAGTACCTAGTGGAACAGTGTCTGAGAAGCTTAGCTGTTTGCTAAAATGGTCTATAGTATTTGGGCACACAAGAATTTCATAGCAGAAGACAGCTGAAATATTAAACGCTGGATAACACCAAATATTCCATGATAAATGGCTTCCCATTTGACAGACGCCTGGCCAGTCAAAGTATAGCTTTAATACACAGCTGAATATCTTCTTGTGGCCCTCAAGATATTCTCAGCCTGAAGGAACCAGACCAGAATCTGTCTGACCCTGACTTGGGTGGCATTGCAGAGGTTTGTTTATGAGCAGAATTGCAGGGCGCTGTCTCCAAGCCCATCAGCTGTGTGAATCACCACACACACACACACACACACACACACACACACACACACACAGTTCAGAGACAGCAGCAGCTGCCCCTCTCAGCCACACCTGGGACCCTAGCACAGCAAAGGCAGGAACAGGCGGATCCCAGCGCCTCCCTGTCAGGCAGCCTAGCCAATCAGTGGGCCCCAGGCCCGTGAGAGACCCTGTCCCAAAAAATAAGGCAGGGCCAATAAGACCCTCAGTGAGTAAAGTGCTTGATGGGTAAGTACAGGGTTTTGAATTCCGATTCCCAGCACACACATAAGAGCCGGGCATGGTGGCAGACATCTGTAACCACAGTCAGATGCTGCGAGTTCACGGTCCTGGCCAAGATGCCAAGCTCCTGGGTTCAGTGAGAGACCCTGCCTCAAAAAATAATGTAGAGAACAATTGATGTCGACACTTGACAGCAACCTCTGGCTTTGGCATAGGTGCGTGCAATAACACACACACACACACACACACACACACACACACACACACACACACGCATGCAAAATCTGCAAAGGAAAGAGCATGGGCAGTGTCCAGGAGACATGAGGAATTTCTGCTTCTCCTCTCCCAGTGGTGCCAGGAGACTTGTGACACGAGGCACAGTGTGTGTGGTGTACCCCCAACCAAGGACACTCTTTCAAGCCCTGATAGTGCGTCTGCCAGGAGTTGGTCACATTGGCATTGTCGACGGCCCAAGAGGCTGACCTTGGTGGCCAGCCCCTCCTGAGATGCCTGTCCCAAACTCCCCCAGGAACTCACTTTGTTACTTTGAAAACACACAGATAAACAAAGACCATGGTTATCAGGAAGGAGGCTCCATGGACTGAGAGGGCTTGTCCCCCGAACTAGGCCAGGGCCAGGGCCACGAAGCAGGCATGGGGCTCAGGCTGCTGGTTGCATCTATGATATTGATTGATTAATTGATGTGTGTGTGTGTGTGTGTGTGTGTGTGTGTGTGTGTGTGTGTGTGTGTGTAAATCTGGGTATTTGCAGCTGCTGGACCGTCCTCTGTGATATGTGCACACTGATGCCTGTGCTCTCCCATGACAGCCTTGGGGCCCACACCATCAGTCACTCATGGGGCACTGGGGCTGAGGAGATGGGTCAGTGGTTAGAGCGTTTGCTGTGCAGGCGCAAACACGAGTATTGGAGTCTCCAGCAGGGAAAAGCCAGGGTATAGTGTGCCTGCCACTCCAGTGCTGTGGGGCGTGGAGAGCGGAGGCCAGGCGGACTTGCTGGCTCAGTGAGAAAGAGGGGAGCGATGGAGAAGGACCCAGTGACCTCCTTTGTCCTCTGAGAGTGCGTAAACAGGGGTGCACGTACACGTGCGTACGTGTTCGTGTGCGCGCGCACACACTGAGGACAGAAGAAGTTGGGCCAGTGAGAGAGTTCATTGGTTAAAGGAGCTTGCTGCCAAACCTGCCGACCTGAGTTTGATCCTGGAACTCACGTGGTAGAAGGAGAGATCTGACCTCCTCAGGTGCGCCATAGTGAATCGTGTGATCACACACACACACACACACACACACACACACACACACACCACACTAAATAAGAGAGTAGAATGTAACAATCTTTTTAAAGTAGGGAAAGTAGATGTGGTTCCAGTGACAAATGACGTTGTCTGGGGCATTTGAACTCCTGGTCCCCACTCAATGGCACTGGGACCCGAGGGAACCAACTCAGTGTGTCCAAATAATGGAGAATTTCATGAGTTTCCTACATACAGCTCTGTGACTGTCACCTCCGACACACATCTGCAGTTCCTGCAGCTGGGATCATGCCCCCCTCTGGCCTCTTACTTCCCCGGGACATGGTAGGTGCTCTGGAAAGGCCTCCATGGAGTAACTGCTCAGAGGCCTGACTGGATTCTGCTGCCGCAGGCTTTGGAAGATCTGTGCGGATTTTCTTGGCTGACTCACAAGGCTTCCACCGGTTCATGGCCACGGATCTGGAACACGAGGATGTGGTGGAGACAGCGGTTTTGGGGCCTGAGAACAATGTGATCATCACTGGCTCCCGGGATGCACTCATCCAGGTGAGGATGGACCAGGACCCCAACCTCAGGACATGGGATCCCTAACTCCTGCTAAGTCCAGAATATACAGAAAACTGATGAGCTCAGACCCAGACAGGGGTGTTTAGTGGAACGATGTGAGGTGCTGGTATTCTGTGCCCTGGTAGCAGACCTAGAATGTTCCCCAAAGCAGGCAGCATTCCCAACCAGACATGAAAATTTAGGGTAGTGGTCTTCCGGGCCACAGAGGAGGAAATTCTCAGTAGTCAGCACTGGTGAGATCATCTAGGTGGGATGATAGGTTTCCCAACATCTTGGTCTGAAGAACTCTCTACAATCTTAGAAATTGTTGAGGACCCAACGGGGTTGATTTATATAGAAACACATGTTTATTTATTATAGTTAGTATATATATGTGTCAATGTTAGGGATGAATTTTCTATATGTAATGAAATACTTGAGGCTGGGAACTGTATAAAGAAAAAAGGTTTATCTAGCTCACAGTTTTTGGGAGTTGACTGTGCACAGAATGGCACCGGTTCTGGCGAGGCTTCCTTGTCCACAGCACATCTGTGCCATCAGTGTGAGCCTGTGTGAGGGAGCGATCAAACTTGAGGGACGGGAGGCCAGTCCTGCCTCTGCTGGGAACGAATCTGAGTCCCATAAGAACGACTTGATCCCTTCCCCTCATTTTGGAGACAGGGTCTCTTGTAGCTCAGGCTAGCCTGAAACTTGCCAGGGAGTCAAGGATGCTCCTGGAGTTCCGATCCCCCACCCTCCCCATTCTTGGACTTACACAACCACAGCCAGCTGCTTAACCCTTCCCAAGGACTTCGTCCCACAGGCTCAGTCACCTCCCACCAGGCTCCGCCTCTTAAGTCCATCACCTCTTATGTCACCCCTGTCACCCCCAAGGACTGCGTCCCACAGAGTCCGTCACCTCCCACCAGGCTCTGCCTCTTAAGTCCATCACCTCTTACGTCACCCCCGTCACCCCCAAGACCGAGCCTCCCACCCTTGAACTCCTGGGAAATCACACCCCAGTGAGGAGATGAAGCTGGTGTGGCCCCAGCCTGTCTCAACGTCATGGCAAGTTCATGGCTGGTCTGAGCACTGTGAGACCCTGTCTCAAATAGAAAAAGAGGAGGCAATCCAAGAATATATATCCGTGAATTCACCACGGCGGGTTTGCATGATGACATAGCTTTTATTTCATCACTGTTCTTGTTATTATTTTATGTGTCTGAGCATCTTGAACCATGTGCATGCCTGGCACCCTCCGAGATAGTAGAGTGTGGATAGCCTGGAGCTGGAGTTACAGAGGGCTATGAGCCGCCATGTAGGTGCTGGGAATTGAACCAGGGTCCTCTACAAGAGCATCAGGTGCTCATAACAGTTGAACCATCTCCCCAGCTCACATGATAGTTTCCTAAAATACACACACATGTATGCATACATGCACACATGCACATGCATGCACACTATGATCTCACTCATTCAACTCTTGCAGAATTCTGCCGCTTACCCATGAGGACAGGCCAATACTTTAGGATTGCTTTGAAGATAGTTCAATGCTGCAGACCCAAGAGGCCCTGCAGGGTGTCCCCTGGGGTTCTCTGGGACTACTGTGAGGATGCTGAAGCCCCAGGAAGTCTTTAGCAGCCAGGGGTGGTGAGGACCCTGGAGCCAGAGCCTCCACGTTCAGCAGAGGCAGGTGAACAGCTGAAGCATGTTCCCAGGGCAGACCCCCATCCTTCTGTTTTCTACCCTCAGGTGTGGAGTCTGTCAGAACAGGGGGCCCTGCTGGACGTCCTGGAGGGCGTGGGCGCCCCTGCGAGCCTGCTGGTCCGGGGTGGGACTCTGGTGGTGTCTGCGTCCTGCAAGTCTTCATCTTTAAAAGTCTGGGATCTCAGGTCCACCCAGAAGCCAAGGTCTCCTGCTCCCTTTCTGGACCGCACAGGCCTGGCTGCGGTGTCCCATCATGGCAGCTACATCTACTTCCCCAAGGTCGGGGACAAAAACAAAGTCACGATTTGGGACTTGGCAGAAGGTTTGTGAGAGATGACTAGTGTCTGTGTGGTGAGTTCCGGACTTACCGTTCTGGAGGCGGAAGTCCAAGATGAGGCCAGGATTTGGTTCAGCTGGTAGAGTGCTTGTAGCTCAGTTGGTAGAGTGCTTGTAGCTTAGTTGTGCAGTGTTTTTCTGGCATATGGGAAGCCCTGGGCTCTGTCCTCAACACTACATAAACCAGGTGTGGTGGTCATGGTTGGTAGGAAAGGCAAAAAGGGCAGGAGTTGGAGATAAAACCACAAACTCTGGCTCAACAAACAAACAAAAGGGACTAGGAAGTTGACTCCTTGCTGACGTGCTCCGTGTGCAAGTGTTCGGACCTACGTGTGGATCTCCACTTCCAGATCAGTGCTGGGTTCTAATCCCAGCGGCTGGAAGGCAGGCACAGAGGATTCCGGAGCAAGCTGGCTGACTTCGCCAGCTCTGGGTTCCACGGAGAGACCCTGCCTCAGGGAGTGGGTAGAGAGCAACTGAGGATGACTGCCAACACACACACCCACACTCACATGCACACGTACACACCACATATATACACGCACCCCCCCCAACACTTACACTCACGTGGACATGCACGCAGCTGCACCCACGCTCCTGACCATGCACACACCACACGTACATGTGCAAAGATGTTGAAAATCACTTGAAGAACCTGTACGTCAGCTTTGGATATGCACACACGAACACGGACACAGAGATGCACAGATATCAGAGGTGCTGGAGGGTCTGAGGTCTGGTGAGGGCTGCTGACTTCTGGTCCAGAGACGTGTCTTTGCTGAGCATTGCTCTGGTCTCTCTCTCTCTCTCTCTCTCTCTCTCTCTCTCTCTCAATAAGGGCACTAACCCCTTTTCTGAGGGATCCACCCCAGAAATCTAATCAACTCCCAAGACTGCTTCTCCCCAAATCATCTTGTAGATGAATTTCTTTCTTATTTTTTTGTGTTTGAGTTTTGCATGGATGTATGTATATGATATGCACCATGTGTGCCTGGTACCCGGTGAAGAGGTACACAGAAGAGGGCATCAGATCCCTGTAGCTGGAGATACAGGTTGTCGTGAGCTGCCATGTGGGTGCTGGGAACTGAACCCAGGTCCCTTGCAAGAGGAGTCTGTGCTCTTAACTACTGAACCCTCTCTCCATTCCGGGATGGAGTTCAACATTGAATTTGGCATGGTGTGGGGGCTTGAACACTCAACCTGTAATCACCAGGATGTGAAGGAGAATGGAGACAGTGCTTGCACTGGTCCTGAGGGTTGTGGGACACCCCTGGGAGTTAAACAGGACGGTGAGGTGATGCAGTTTTCATTTAATTAGATTAAAGTTGGGCTTGTTGTACACCTGGCTGTCATCCCAGCTACCAGGGAGGCTGAGGCAGGAGGATGAAGAGTTGGAGATCGGCCTGGGTGATTAGGGAGGTCCCATATAGATTTCCCCTGGGTGTCTTTTTCTGTGCACCTCAGACAGGGCAATCACATCGGAGAAAGAAGTGCTGGGAGAGCCAAGGAGTCGGCTGGACTGACAGGAGCACAGGACTAAAGTCCGCTTTGTCACCCCGTTCCCACACGGCACGCAGCCACCGGGAAGGCTGCAGGCCTGCAGCTCCGCGCTCTGTTTGCGGGCAGCTCACAGCCTGGGCCCAGCCCCTCCCCTATCAGAATGTTTCAATATGGAAGAAATAGCTTCATAACATCCTGTCTCAAAATATAACCCAGAGCCAGTCGAAGGTGTGGCGCGGGGTGGGGGTGCTAGGGAATGCTGCCGCTGTGCTAGTCCCCAAGGCTAGCCAGGTTGAGTGTGCAGTCTTACGGAGCATGCGCAAACCCAGGTTCTGCCCTTCCCACCCACTTGCTGAGCACAGCCCCGGCCCCAGCTTCAGCTACCATTTCTTCCCAGTGCCTCTCAAGCCTGTGGGAGCTCAGGGTCCCCCTCATTTCCTCCAGTGCCTACTGAACATGCGTCAGGCCCTGGCTTCCATTTGCCTCAGGGGTTACTGAGCATGCGTATGGGTAGGTGCAGGGTCCATTTCTAGCTTCAGGCTCAGTCAGGAAACTACACTATCCAAGCTGAACTTAGGGGTCAGAAACTAAGAAAGCGAAGGCCAGCTAAACGTCCAGCAGGTGAGGGCACTTGCTGCCAAGCCTGAAAACGTGAATTCGAGCCCCGGGACCCACATGGGGGGACAAGCTTACTTGTTCTCTGACCTCCACACACGTATAAATAATTGCAATTTTTTAAAAACTAAGAAAACCAGATGATCCATCCCTGACTGTCTTCTCCCTGTGCAGGTGAGGAGCAGGATTCCCTGGACACGTCCAATGAGGTCCGGTGTCTGGAAGTGGCCGAGCAGGCTAAGCTCCTCTTCACAGGCCTGGTCTCGGGGATCGTGCTTGTGTTCCCCCTGAATTCCAGGCAAGATGTGCTGTGTATACCCCCGCCCGAGGCCCGCAAAGCTGTCAACTGCATGTCCCTGAGCAAGAGCGAGGACCGGCTGGCCATCGCCTATGACAACATCGTCCTGGTGCTGGACATCAGCCCCGGAGACCCATGTCCCGCCATCGAGGGCCCCACCTACACCTTTTACACCCAGCTGCCCGAGACCATCGCAAGCGTGGCCGTGCTGGCCGACTACCGCGTGCTCTATGGCATGACTGACGGCGGCCTCTTCCTGTACGACTGTCCACGGTCCAAAGTGTTCCCCCTGGAGGCTCACAGGAGCAGGGTGAGCTGCGTGGAGGTCAGCCACGGGGAGCGGCTGGCAGTGAGCGGAGCCGAGGATGCGCTGCTCTGTCTCTGGGACCTGCAAGCTTGCAGGGGGATGTTCGAGATGAGCTACGAGGTGGGTGGCCTGGGCTCTGACATCCATGCTGTGCCCTTTCTCTCCTGCGCTCTTTTGTTTTTGTGTGTGTTCCCACAGTTTCTAGCTGTGAGTGTACATTTTTGCAATGTGTGTGATGGATAGAGGTCAAACTGGGGTGTCGTTCCTCACCTTGTTTTTGGGGGCAGGGGCTCTCACTGGAGCCAGGGGCCCTCCCATTAGGCTGAAGTGGGCAGGATGTGCCTATCTACAACTCCCCAAAACTGGGATTGCAAGTGTGGGCCACTCTACCTGCTTTTTTTTTAAACATGGGAACTGGGTATTAGTTGCAGGTCCTCATACTTGCCCAGCAGCTGACTCAAGTGAGGAGGAAGGTATTCCTAACGAGGCTGTCCCCCGGCCTCCAGATGCATGCACAGCCACCCACCGGTGCGTTCAGTGCAATAGCCCTGAAGCTGTCACCTCTGTGAAGACAGACCTTGCTCCTTGAAAAGTCCATTTCTCCATCTCTCTGGGGTTTGTTCTGCTCTGGCCCCAGTGGGGAGCCAGGATTGCGGTGCTGGCCAGGTGAAGGCTGGTCTGGATATCCCTCAGTTGGAAAGGGTATCATGTGGTATATTAGTTATTTTGTTACAAAATCCCTAACCCGAAGCAACTGAAGTGGGGAAGAGCCATTTGGGCTCCCAGTTGTAGGGGACACAGCCTAAGGCGGAGCGAAGACTTGGTACCAGATGTCTCTGTGGTGGCAGGAGCGTGCAGCCAGGACCCCGCACCTCACATCTTGGTGGAACAGGAAGCTGAGGGTGAACAGGACGTGGGCTGAGCTATAAAGCCCCAAAACCGGAACCACAGTGACCCACATCTTCCAGGGAGGACAAACCTGATAAAGGTTCTAGAACTTTCCAAACACCAGCTGTAGACTAAGGGTTAAAACACACCATCCCAGACAGGGGAGAGCCGCTCAGCTCAGCCGGTAAAGGTGCCAGCAGCCAAGCTTGATGACCTGAGTTCTGTCCCCACTGACCACATGGTGCAAGTTATTCTCCGACCTGCACACAGCGCAGTAACACGCAGCTCCCGGCCCCCAACAAAAAATTTACAAGTAAATAACAAGGTCTGTCTTCACAGAGCTCCTACTGCAGAGGGGTACGGTGTGCCTGCTTCTCCAAGGACGACAAGTACGTTTTCGCAGGCATGAAGGACCGCTCCATCATCGCCTGGAGTGCGCTGGACGGTGAGTCCTGCTCTCGGATGGGACTGAGCTACCGAAAAGCCTATTTTGTGTGTGTGTGTGTGTGTGTGTGTGTGTGTGTGTGTGTGTGTGTGTGTGCTCGCGCGCACGCGCGCGCGCGTGAATAGGGGTGCACCTGGCCATGTGTCCACATGTAAGTGAAGGGTAGAGGTTGAGGGTGGCCTAGCCCTCCATGCTATTTTTGAGACAGGAGCTCACCCATTCAGCTAGCCTGACTGGCCATTGAGTCCCACCCCGACTGGGTCCACGCCACCGGGATTACAGGTCCGTGCTGGTACACCTGGCCTCTGTGCAGGTGCCTGGGGTTCAAGCTTCAGGGCATCGTGCTTGTATGGCATGCCCTTCCCTGTGGGCTTAGTTTGCTTTTCTGTTGCTAGATGAAATGTCCTGACCAAAAGCAACTTGGGGAGGAGAGGGTTCAATTTTGCTTAAAGGCTGTATGTAGTCCATCACTCAGGGAAGTCAGGGCAGGGCAGGGACCTGGAGGCAGGAGTTGATATATGCACCCCTGTACTTGGGTAGTGATCATGCACCGGAGAGGATGAACTTTGGGGTCAATGATCAGGCCAAGCCAGCTGGACAGGGAGCCCCAGGGAGCCCCCTGACTCTGCCCCCACAGCACTGCGATTGCCAGTGTGCACCACCACACTCAGCTGGGAATCGAACTCATGTCTTTGTGTTTGCAGACTGAGCACACTACCCACTGCCCTGTCCTTCCCGCCTCTGTGCCCCGGTTTTCTCACGAGCCGCCCTTCCCCCATCACAGGCACCCTGCTGGCCGTCCAGTTTGTCCACGCTGTGGTCAGCCGAATCATCCCCACCTCCAATGGCTTCATGGCCCCCACGAGCCACGGCTATCTCATCAGAGAACGTTTCCAGTGCCCATCAGCCAGAGCCTCCCAGCAAGACCCTCTCAGGAACTTCAAGAAGGCAGTGTGGTTGGTCAAGACCAGGCGAAGGGAAGAGCAGGTAGCCGCAGCAGAGGCCTCCCAGGACACAGGATCAGTGGCCGAGGAGGGAAAGGAATCGAAATCGAATAAGCGCTCACAGGTCTGCCTGATACTGTGAAGGCCCACGGAGCCCAGGAACGCAGCGGGTTAGCCTTGACTCATCTGGTTGATGCAAACTGACCAACTCTGCTGGTGCCATGTGGACCCCAGACCTCCCTCTGACATCTTCCATGTTTCCCACCTCTTCTGTGGGGTTCTCAGACCTGCCCCTCTCAGGGAGCAGCAGCCTGCATCTCCCACCCTAACCCAAGCCTTGGATCCAAGCCTTGGCTCTGCCTCTGTTGGTCCCAATGGGCACAGCTCTCATCCTGAGCCAATCGCCGGCTCCGGGAGGATATGTAATCACTGTGGGGACCATGAGTGACCCATCGGAGAGCAACACTGTGTGGCAGACAGTGACAGACTTCGGGGACGTGGTGGCCACTGTCCTGTCTTGGATGGCAGTGACCACCCAGAATCCACATGGCAAAGCCAGCCTGTGTCGCAGGTCTTTCCTTTTCTGTGTGTGAAGCCAGAGTCCTGGACTGTCTGTCACACCACGCACACGCTCGCCCTTTTGAAAGTGGTGGTTGGCCCACGTGGTCACAGTTAGCCTGTCTGTAGCTCCTGCTCTGCCTGTGACTCGAAATGTGTGTACAAAATCCACTCTAGCTGGTTGGCAGCTTGGCCTTCAATCCCAGCACTCAGGAGCCGGAGACAGGCGGACTCTTGTGCGTTCCAGGCCAGCCTAGTCTAGAGTGAGTTCCAGGACAGCCAGAAAGAGATCCTGTAGAAAAAGGAGAGGGCTGGGGATTAGCTCAGTGGTAGAGCACTTGCCTAGCAAGCACAGGGCCCTGGGTTCGGTCCTCAGCTCTGGAAAAAGGAAGAAAAAAGAAAATGGAAAAAAAAAGAAGGAAGGAAGGAAGAAAAAAGAAAAATAAAGAATCCATGTGGGCTAGGGCTGGCTCAGGGCTTAAAGCATCTGCAGTCCCGGTGTGAGAACTAGAGACCTCTCCAACCCTCAGAACCCTTCAGGCTCAGCCCCAGAATGTAGAGACAGGCTGTTCTCGGTTCATTCTGCTGCGTGACGAAAACACCCTGACCAAGAGCAACTGCAGGGAGGCATTCCAGGCCACAGGCCACCGCCGAGGGGAAAGAACTCAAGCCGGGACGGAACAGGCTGCTGGCTATTGCGCACGCACGGCGTGACCTCTGGCCAGGGGACGCACTGGCCAAGGAAGTCAGCAGTGTCCTGGTCACTGTCCTGTTGCTGTCAAAAGGCAACTCATTTAAAAAGAAGCATTTCATTGGGCTGGCTTACAGTTTCAGAGGCTTAGTCCATTATCACCATGGCGGGGAGCGTGGAGGCGTGCATGGCGGACATGGTGCTGGAGAAGCAACAGAGATATATTATGATCTGCAGACAGACAGGCAGAGAGGGAGAAGGAGGGGGAGAGAGAGGGGGAGAGAGAGGGAGGGAGGGAGAGAGAGAGAGAGAGAGAGAGAGAGAGAGAGAGAGAGAGAGAGAGAGAGAGAGACTGGGCCTGGCATGGACTTTTGAAACCTCAAAGCCTACCCCATGATACTTCCTCCAACAAGACCACATCTAACCACTGAAATCCTTTCAAACAGGCCTGGTGGCCAAACATTTGAATATATGTCCCTACCGGAGTCGTTCTCATTCAAACCACCACAGGCAGGAACCATGGAGGGTGCTGTGTCTGGCTTTCTCTGGATCATTAGCTTTCTCTTACAGCCCCAGAACCACCTGCCCAGGGAATGGTGCCACCCACAACGGATTCCCGCCTACATCAGCTAACAGTCAAGACAGTCCCCCATGGAAGAGCCCATAGACCAATCTGATCTGCGCAGTGCTTCAATTGGGACTCGCTTGTCAGGAGACTCTAGGCTGTGTGAAGTTGACGGTTAAAGCTGAACATTCTGGCTAGCTAAGCTAGACACATCTTTGAGTTCTGGGTTTGATTAAGAGACCCTGCCTCAGTGAATAAGGTGGAAGAGGAATCAAGGAAAATTGCTGACTCAACCTCAGGCCTCCCTTCACAAATACACATGCACGCACACACACAGAATCTTATCGGGCCTCCACAAACACACACACACACACACAGCACGCACGCGTCAGTGCTGCAATTGAACTCTTGATCTTCCCACCTCCACTGTTGGACCACAGTCGTGACCATGCTCAGCTCCCTGACACACAGGACACACCAGCATCTCCCTGTTTGCTGCCGACCCTCTGCCCTGAAATGGCTCTCTCCACTGTGCCCACAGCCGTCTGCTGAGCCTGGCTTGTGCCTGGAGCCCTGCTATAGTCAGACTTAGAGGGAGGGCTCCCCTCACTCCCTGGGACCCTAGTCAGACTCAGCAATGCATCCGTAGGAAAGAGACCTTTACTCCTTGGTGTTGGAGATGGAACCCAGGGCTTGTTAGCCAAGTGCTTTACAGAGAGCCACGCCCCCAGCCCCTCCCTGAGGGATTCCAGGTAGGAGCTCTGCTGCTGAGCCATAGTTCCAGCTTCAAAGTGAGACTTTTGAAGATATCTCATTCAGTTATTTCCCGAATGAGGGTTCCAAAATGCACACTTCGGCAGTTCTGAAAATGTTAGTGTCAAATTTCATTTAAAAAATAAGCCGGGCAGTGGTGGCGCACACCTTTAATCCCAGCACCTGGGAGGCAGAGGCAGGCAGATCTCTGTGATTTCGAGGCCAGCCTGGTCTACAGAGCGAGATGCAGGACAGGCACCAAAACAACACAGAGAAACCCTGTCTCCAAAAACAACAACAACAAAAATAATAATAATAGTCTGGAGAGATGGCTTAGCAGTTAAGCTTCATGCTGCTCTTGCTGACTCGGTGAATAATGACACTTCGTACGCAACCCTGATGGCCTGAGTTCAGTCTCTGGGACCCACAGAGTGGAAGGAGAGACCTGACCTCACACAGTTGCTCACTGACTCCACACACTCACCATGCCGGTCACACCGCCCCCCCCATCATGCACACATACAACAATAATAATAAATTTAAAGATATATTTTAAGCCTTAGCTTAAAAATATATGCTCAGGTGCATTGAACAATAACTTTAGATTTTTTGAATAGTATTTTATTTTTATTAACCTATTAACTGTATATATTCATGGGACCCATGAGATTTTTCAGCATGAATGCGGCACACACTCATCAGTTTATCCACCTTCACCTCTGTCCCAAGCTGGTCCTCACGGTTCCATGTCCTTTGAAGTCCAGTGTATGGGTGAGGAAATGTGGCGCTGTCATTCTGCGTCGACTTCATGGAGCGTGATGTCCTGCAGTTCTGCATGCCTGTTTTGCTACACATGACCATCTTTCGTGTTCTCCTCTGTGGCCACATACCATTCCATCATTGAGATACCACACATTCTTTTTCCATCTGCTCCAGTGTTGGCGATTGCTAGTTTAGGAAGTCTCCCACCATTTAACTGAAGGATCCTTAGCTTAAGCAGAGAGCCCTTGAGGGGGGAAGGCTACTTTTTTGCCCCCCCTTCTTTCCTTTTTTGAGACAGGGTTTCTGTGTAGCCCTGACTGTTGTCCTAGAACTCACTCTATACACCAGGCTGGCCTAGAACTCACAAGAGATCTGCCTGCCTCTGCCTCCCCAGTGCTGGGATTAAGGCATGTGCATGATCAGGTTTAATCAATGTGGAAAGGATGCATTTGTCATAACAGGGAAAGTTTTGATGTACAGCGTTTGGCCTCAAATTCCAGTGTCTGGGGCATGGCCACGCAGGCAGTTAATCCCAGCTGTTGGGAGGGAGAGGCAGGAGGATCTCTGCGAGTTTGAGGCCAGCCTGGTCTACATAGCAAGACCCTGTCTCAAAAACACAACAAAAAATAAAATTTCTGTGTTCACTGCAACAGTCTGAGGGAGATTCAGTTACTGAGCAATACACTCCGGGTTGGTGGATGGTGGGTACACAAGGTGGAAGCTGTTAGAGGTGTCTACTGCTGCGTCAATGTCAGAGCGTGTCCCCCGGCTGGGTGTGTGTGTGGATGGAGCGTGGAGATATGGATGGAGCACCAGGGGCGATGTGGGGGCTTTGGGACGGTCACACTACCCCGGCTGTGTGTGTGTGTGTGTGTGTGTGTGTGTGTGTGTGTGTGTGTATGAAGAGCGCCTGGGGCGATGTGGATAATCCCGGCTCCCGTGGGGGTGGGGGATGGGGATGGTGGGTACACAAGGTGGAAGCTGTTAGAGGTGTCTACTGCTGCGTCAATGTCAGAGCGTGTCCCCCGGCTGGGTGTGTGTGTGGATGGAGCGTGGAGATATGGATGGAGCACCAGGGGCGATGTGGATAATCCCGGCTCCCGTGGGGGTGGGGGTGTGGATGGTGCCTGAGAGGTGTGGATGGAGCGTGACCCCTGGCTCCCGAGGACGCTTTGGGTAGAAACATCCCTCCACGGACCACTTTGCTCCCTAAACCCTGCAGCAGGCGGCTGGCTCTTCCCGCGTTATTTAGTTGCTGTGAGCGAACACCGGATGCAGCATTTTCAGGGCAGGTGGGTTTCTTTGGGCTCCTCCTGTCCATCATGGCAGAAGGAGGGGCTTTTGTCTGTGGCTCACCGCAGGGCAGAAACTTCGTTGTTTGAAGTTCATTCTGGAACTCTGGTCGGTGGCATGGCTCCACCCCTGTTCCGGGTGGATCTTCCCTCCTCAGCTAAACCTCTCTGGAAATGCCCCTCACAGACTGTCAGTCAAATTGACAGTGAAGATCTCCCATGGCTAGTCCACACTATCAACTACGCACATGTGGCACCTTACATCACACTAGCCTGTTTGTGTTTGCTCTTTTGGGGGGCCCACCACCCAGCGCCCAAATAAACCACACACAGGCTTATTCTTAATTATGAATGCCTCACCTTAGCTTGGCTTGTTTCTAGCCAGCTTTACTTATCTTTAATTTATCCCGTCTACCTTTTGCCTCTGGGGCTTTCCCGATTCTCTTCTGTAAATCTTACTCTTACTCTGTGGCTTGCTGTGTAGCTGGGTGGCTGGCCCTTGGAGTCCTCCTCCATCTCTGGATCCTAGATCTTCCCTCCAGAGTTCTCCTTCTATATAGTCTCTCTGCCTGCCAGCCCCACCTATTTTTCTTCCTGCCTTGCTATTGGCCAGTTCTTAATTAGACTATCAGGTGTTTCAGACAGGCACAGTAACACAGCTTCACAGAGTTTTTAAAATGCAGCATGAACAAAAGTAACACTCTTTAAAATAATAGTCTACAACACCAGACCTTAGGGCCTCTTGGCCATCTCATAATGCAAGGTACATTTGGTCTATCTCTGAATATGCTCAAAATAAATGTATTTATTTTATTTGGCGTGGGGCACAGTGCACCCTGCCATGATGCCTATGTGGATCAGAGGACAGTTTGTAGGACTTGGTTTTCCTTTCCCTCCATATGATTGCCAGGGGTCAAACTCAGGCAGCCCAGCTTGGCAGCAGACACCTCCACACCCTGAGTCCTCTCGCCAGCCCCTCAAAGTCTAAACAATTCTAACGTTGTTTAGAAACCTAAGTACTGTTCAGTAGCCTGTACTGAGGCTCCAACACCCCTTAACTGTCAACCTCTGTAAAATAATACCAAGGGAGTTACATACTTTCAACATATATAAGGCCAGCCTGGTCTACATAGTGAGTCCTAGGCTAGCCAGGACTACATAGTAAGAACAATCAACCTAGCTAAGGGCACAGGTTAAACATTCTGTTCCAAAAGGAAAGGATAGGGACATCGCAAGGAAAATCAGACCAAAGCAAGACAGAACCCTGCCAGGAAAAGACCTGAAGTGCTGTGTCCAGCAGCTGGGACTCGGCAGCACAGCACCGTGCAGACACCAGCAGCCCACCTGCCGCACACGTAGCCTCTCTCGGGCCAGTTCCTCTCCTTGCCTACATCTTTCTTTGTCAAACATCCCATAGTCCTGGCATCTTAGAAATCCTGGGATCTGGGGCCAGCAAGATGGCTCAGCGGATGAAGGCACCTGAAGCCTGATGAGCGTTGTTAGACCTGGAACTCACACGGTGGAAGGAGAGAGCTGACTCACACAGCTTCTCCTCTGATTTCCGCACGCGCACTGTGAGAGGCACATCATGAACAAATCAACTCCCAGGGTCTCCATTGCAGTATAGGTTTCACCTCCACAGCTTCCCACAAAGCCCCTCCATGGCCCCCTTCTAGGAATCTGTCCTGTCCTATATATGGCCTGGCCTTCTGGAACCTTAGGGGAATCCCCCACAGCTGGTTCACTCTCAGATCCCATAAAACCAGTCAAATGCCCCCAAAACCAGTACCATGTGGATGCTACCACCAGCTCGGGATGATCACAGTGGCTGCTGCCTGTGCCCCCGAGGCTGACCCTAGGGAAACATTCCCCCTGGGTGCCCGTTTGGAGCAGTGAAGGCCTGCAGCATCTTCCTCCCGGACCCCTGGCCCTCTGGACCCAGGGTGGAAGCAAGGCCTTTTTAGAAGGCTGATGCTAATGACTCCAGCAGGCACCAGGCTGGCCTGAAAACCTCCGAAGCTTTCTGGGCAATCTCCTCCCTAGCAGTGGTCTGTGGCTTTTCTAACCCTGGGAGGACTCAGGAATCTTTCAAGTTTCAGGTTCCCCAGCTTCTCCAGGCAGGTGAAGTTTACTTCTCATGAGTCTCCGGCCCCACCGCCATCCAGCAGTGGGGGGTCCGTTTCAGCTCCTGGTCTGGACAGTGGCTCCCGGCAGTGGGTCACAGTTGAGCAGATGAGTATAGACTGGAGAACAGCTTTATTTCTCAGTCTCTTGATTCAAGCCAGGCCCCTACAGAGGAGTGTCTCCTAGGCAACCCGCAGCCTGTCTAATCTAATGAAAGCAATTCTTCAGTTGAGGGTCCCTCTTCCTTGGAGACTCTAGGCAGGGGTTCCACCCCTGAGCCACGCCCCCAGCCCCTCACTGGGGGATTCTAGGCGGGGGCTCCACCCCTGAGCCACGCCCCCAGCCCCTCACTGGGGATTCTAGGCAGGGGCTCCACCCTGACCACGCCCCCAGCCCCTCACTGGGGATTCTAGGCGGGGGCTCCACCCCTGAGCCACGCCCCCAGCCCCTCACTGGGGATTCTAGGCAGGGGCTCCACCCTGAGCCACGCCCCCAGCCCCTCACTGGGGATCCTAGGCGGGGCTCCACCCTGACCACGCCCCCAGCCCCTCACTGGGGGATTCTAGGCGGGGCTCCACCCTGAGCACGCCCCCAGCCCCTCACTGGGGATTCTAGGCAAGCCTCAGCCAACTAGAGGTATTTGAATCCTTGAACCCATTGCTTCCTTTTAGAACCTGACCAGACCCTGGCACAAATGCACTGTGAGGAAGTGCACGTAACTTTACAGTTTGGCTCTGAAATGTCCCTCAAAGGCCTAAGTACAGAAAGCCTCCATCTAGGTGTGGTGGCACATTCTGCTAATACTGGCACTCAGAAAGCTGACGACAGAGGACTACTATTGTCTGAGGCCAGCGTGTGCCTCAGACAATTGGGATTTTTATCTTAGGAAACCAAAATCCTCTGGGTGGTGGTGACGCTTGCCTTTAATCCCAGCACTCAGGCAGGCGGATCTTTGTGAGTTCGAGGCCAGCCTGGGCTACAGAGTGAGATCCAGGAAAGGCGCAAAGCTGCACAGAGAAACTGTCTCGAAAAACCAAGAAAAAAAAAAAAGAAAGAAAGAAAGAAAAAGAAAAGAAAGAAAAAGAACACCAAAATCCAAAAGGAAGGAGAGATCTTTCTCCAGGATGCTCCCCCAGGAGGAAGTGGAGTCTGTGAGAGGTCAGGCCTCACAGGCAGAAGTTAGGTCACTGGGACATGTCTTTTCTTCCTCTCTGTTTCTGGGCTCTGGCTCTACCATATGCTGTCTGCCACGGACCCAAAAGCAAGGGGCCGGGCAGGGTGGCGCAGGCCTGTAATCCCAGCACTCAGGAGGCAGAGGCAGGCGGATCTCTGAGTCTGAGGCCAGCCTGGGCTACAGAGCGACTAAAGAAAGCATGGAGGTGAGCAACAGCCCTCCAAAAACAAACAAACAAACAAACAAAACCAACTAAACTTGGAGTCAAATGAATCTTTCAGTTTATCAAGACAGCTCATTGGGTAAAGGCACTTGCCACCAAGCCTGATAACTTGAGTTTGATCCTCAGAACTCACATGGTGGGAGGAGAAAACTGACTGCCCCCCCCCACACACAATAAATAAATAAAATAAATATTTCTTAAATGTATCCTATTTTGGGGTTGTATATCTTGGATATATTTCCCTAGGCTCAGAAACCTGAACCATACACAACTGACTTATCCCCAAGGTACAAGGAATCCCCCTAAACGCTGAGCCATTTCAGAGTGACTCAGGTGAGCCATGCAAGACAGGTACAAGACTTAAGGGGCACCCAAAACTCAACGCAATGATCAAAACCAACAAACCTTTATTTTGTATGTGTGTGTGTGTGTGTGTGTGTGTGTGTGTGTGTATACTTTTTGTTTTTGTTTTGAGACTGGGTCTCTCTGTGTAACCCTGACTGTTCTGGAACTCACTCTGTAGACCAGGCTGGCCTTGAACCCACAGAGATCCACCTGCCCCTGCCTCCTCAGTGCTGGGATCAAAGGCATGCGCCATCACACCTAGCTCTAAGATTTTAATTTTTATAATTTTTTAATTTGTGTGGGGTGGTGGTTTGTGCACTTGAATGCTGTGCACAGAAGCCAGAAGAGGGTGTGGGGTCCCCTGGAGCTGGAGTTACAGCAGCTGTGAGCTGTACAATGTGGGAGCTAAGCAACTGGACATGTGTCCTCTATAAGAGCAGCAAGCATCCTCCTGTTTTTGTATTTTAACTTGAATTTTATTCTTTTATGTGT